CGGTAATATGAGATATGTTGCAGTTAAAAGGGCTTCCCCCAATAGGATTTGGGTGTATTGTAGTGAAATAGGAAAGCTCGGGTAGAGGCTAGTAACGGTGACCATTTTTCCTTTTCTGCATCGCCATTTTCGTTGTGGGGTGTGAAACAAGGAGGATTCATGGATGAATCCTTCACTCTGGAAGTAGGCAGGAAAAGGGTTGGTTGAAAATAATCTTTGGCATATATCGGAGGCGAAAAACTTTTTATTTTTTACCCCGAATTGGTGTTTTTGGATCATGGAATGAAATGTGGGACAAATGGTGCCAACATCGGATTTTTATGTTTAAGGAGATAGATCCAAGAGACTCTTTGTGCAATCATCATGAATGACACAACCAACGTGCCCCAGAGATATTGGGAATTTTAAGGGTCGCCCATATACACTATGATAAGGAGAAAGGAGTGCACATCTCTCACTTTTTTTGGGAAAGAGGTTCTTTTATTTGTTTAGTCACCTCCAGGTTTTCACAATGAAATATTTTATTGTCTAATTATGAAAAAGTTGCGGATACATATGTTTAGGCATCAAAAGATGGGTGTCCTAGTCTTAAATGAGTTCCTATCGACTAAGGATAAAAGAGCAACTCTTTTTTAGATTGGTTTTGGTTCTTCCAGGTAGTACAATCCTGCTTTCTCCTTAGCAAGGTCCAATCTTCTTCCCCGATCTCTCGGTCCTGAAAATAAGCAATAAGTAGGATTAACAATGCTTGACAATTATGGTCATTGGTAAGTTTTTGTATTAGATATCTGGTTTGTGGATAATTGTGGTACGGTGGTGCACCTTTTTTAGGGTGAGGAAATGGTGATAGTATGATGTCTTCTTGGCCAGCTACCGTGGTAGAAGAACCATCAGCAGTGATGATTTTTTTGTTGTTGGGCAAGAGTATAGTTTTATGAGGTTGGGTTAGTGGTGGATGTCAATATGATCTGTGGGCTCTGAATCATGATCCATAATTCCTTTAAAGATTTCTAGAAGCACTTAAACTAATTAGAAATTTAGAGTCTTACCTGAGAGTGCAAGTGAACGAAGAAGCATTGGTTCTTTCAAAGAGATACCCAGGAGTCGTTTTCAATTTATCAATACTCTTCTTTATTGAATTCTCCAAGACTGGACTGAGCTTCTGGCTTACTTGTAGTGTTGTTGGCATGTGATGGTACCCCTTGTTTCACCCTTTTATTCCATCTCTGTTTGGGGGTTTTCCAATGTAATCTTCCAACATGTTTTCTTTTGTTGTTTTTGACTTTTTTATGCAATAGCTGCACCAAAAGTGAGCTATTTATCTTTTGGATTTTGAAGAATCTTTAACCTTTCTTCCTTCCATGATGATTCTTTGTTCATCACCATTGCTGAGCTTTTCAATGCCTTTAGTTCTAGCAATCACTCCTCGTCGACTTTCTTCCTGCTCGGATGATAGAAATAGTTTCGTTAAGTGATGGTGGTCTCCTCCTTGCCGAGGATCTGAACTCTAACTTGATCAAATTCTGCATTGAGTCCTGCAAGAAAATCAATAAACTCTTCTTTTTCAATAAAGTTCTTTAGGATCGCAGCATCCTCCGAACATCTGATTTCATGCCTATAGTGATCAAGTTTCTTGCACAGATTTTTGTAGAATGGTGGCATATTCCATCAAGTCTACTCCCTGCTTTTGTGCTTCCAACACTTTGGACTTTAACTTCAAAGATTTGGGCCTGCATCAACGAGCTTTCGAGTAGGTTTGTCTGCAGCATCCATATGTCCTTTGCTGTGAAAGGAACATAAAAGTATCACTTTTATTTCTGGAGTCCCATGAAATTCGCAATAACCATGACATAATCATAGAGTCTGCTTTCATCATGCCCCAAATTTGGGATCTCCTTCTTTCGGTCCTCCTCTAAGGAGAATGATGTATTTTACCTTTCCCCTTCAAGTAGGTCTTCACAAATTTGAGACCCAACTTTCAGGTATTCTTCCCCATTTAGAGCGATAGGAAGGTTGGTAATGCTTTGAAGGTCACCTCGTCTTGGTGCAACCATCGACTCCTCATTTTTGGCTCAACGCTTTGGGAGGAAAAATTAATTTCTTGTCATTGGAAAGCAATTAAGGCTTTTCCTAAAAAAAAATTTTCCTTTGTTCGACAATAAAGGGTCAAAGGATTTTTTTTTTCTTTTTTTTTTTTCTGGTTTTACTAAACCAAACCGGCGAGTCTTTCAAAAAAATGCACAGACACGGACACGGCAACACGGATACGACACGACACGGACACGGGACACGTCAATTATTAAAAATATAGGACACGGACACGGGTTGTACACGTTATTATAGTTTTTATATTTAAAAAATAGTGTATAAAAATTAAATAAGTATAATTTAAAAATAATTTAAAAATAATAAGTCATTTAACTAGAATTGTGCTTAAAATGATTAGTATTAGGATGTCGAGAGTTAGGAGTCGATGTCGTTTATCAGTCACCGAGAGGAGACGAAAATACCATCACTGCCAAAAAGAAATGAAAATGATAATATTCGATGATTGAGTATTAAGTGCAGACGTTGATTTGGTGTTGTGGATAGGAAATAAGAAATTTATTTTAAATCCTGCCAAATACAAGAAATTATATTTAAAAAAATTCATAAAATATTTAAGATACGCGTGTCCGACACGCGTGTCCAATTTGTATTTGATATTTATTAATCGGACATGTTTTCGACGTGTCCGACATGTGTTGGAGGAGTGTCGGGCGAGTGTCGTGTCGGACACGGTGTTGGACACTGCACGCCTCTTTGAGGAGAAGTGTCGGTGCATCATAGGATACGAGAGGTCGAAGGTTGGGAAAGGAAACCCAAATTGGAATGATAGGGGATTCCACCTCAATATCAAATGTAGGAGACCATTTAAACAGTTTCATAAAGCAATTGTTCATAAAATAAGAACGGTGAGCAAAAACCCTACAATAATCCAAATCATTCAGCAGCTTAATCAACACATGGTTTGGATTAAGAACAGTAACCGAGAAATCACATATTAGTTTGATATTAAAGAAAAACTTCATAATAGATTCAAGAGAAGGTCTACGAAAAGGGAATTTCCCCACCAAGGCGAACTCGAAAGGGGCAGAAAGCGCTAAAATTTCAGCTTCTGAAATCAATAACGATGGCATCCCACGTAAAGAGGAGATTTTAAGGTCAGGGAAAGAAGAAGACTGAGAATCACAAGCTAAAGCATTACGAAATGATCGAGAAGCCTTCCCATTCAAAAACCCGGGATCGGCGAGGCGGTTACCAGCCATTTTTTGAAAAACCGACCGAAAATCGAACGAAAAAAAAAAAGAACTAGAAAGCACAACCAGAGAGAGAAGGCAAAGGGAACTTCCCTGTGACCAGACCAGGAGACGGAGGCCAGAAATTGAGCGCCTAGGAGGAGAACGGCTAGGGAGGAAGAAACCCTAGCAGAGTCATTATTGCTTATATTCCTTCTGTCTCAAGTTCCCTTGGGATTTAAGGAAGCGATCCAAATACAACACAAGAATTGAAAAAAACATCTCAATATAATATTTGAATCGAAAGAAGTATCTAAAGTGATCACAATTGATTTGCTGATTCTTGAAGAGAAGAGGAAAATTGGACCATTTACATGGCACTAGACTTAAGCAAGAACATCAAACATTTAATGTTTGGGATGAATAAAACTCTTGGTGATATTTTGGATATGAAACTCTATAATTCCGAAGATAAGTGACACATGCATTTTCCTCCATTCAATAAATGAAATATGAAAAACAATAAATCAAATGTTTTCCAAAGTTTGTGATTTCACACAAATGTATGAAGAAAAAACCAAGATCCCATCCACAAAAAAAGGAGGATTTATCACAGAATATTCCAACCTATTTCTATGTAAAAAGATGGATTATTATCATCACTTCCAAATAGAATGCAGCAAAATGATACTTCTTAAAAAGTTTGTTGAAAAAGATTGAACATTGTTAAATCTCAACCTTACGATCCCAAAGTATCCACGGCTATGAACAGTAATCCATGGGAAGACTACATGGATTGCATTAATTCCTCCCATTAATTTAGGAATAATTATATTCATGTTATTATAAGAGTTATTTGTTTCCTTATCGATACACCTTGTATAGATCTATAAATAGGGAGTAGATTGCTTAATAAAATTCAAGCTTTTCCCTCTCAGATCCTCGTTTTTAACAGTTTTCTATGCCTTTGTTCCATTCATGCAATTTTTTTATTGATTTATAATCATGTGCCTTAAGCATCCCTATCACATTTCTCCATCAATCTTGCTGTGAAGGCATGCTTACAAAAAGGAAATTATTCCTTCGACTTTTTTACTTGTACAAAGTTGGGTCCCATAACATTAGTAGCAATGTGTGTTGCATGTGTAGTAATAGACGTGCTTTTTTGGTGCCTATACAAAAATTGATCTAGCATTTGCATGTTTGCTTTTCTACTAGAACGTGCATATGATACATGCCCAATTTTATTCCAATAGTGACGAGGATTTGTGTATGGCATCTCTAGAACTTTTCTATGTTTGCGTCCTTTCTAGGAATGAATCTTGAGGTTTTTACAAGTGAGTAAGAAAATTCTAGGTAAATATGTGGTAGTGCAGTAAAAATTGACTCTTTTTTAAGAATATATCTCGTGGAAATGCAGGCTTCTTTTTTGAATTTTTACTGATGGGATTCCAGGTAAATATAGATGGATTTCTGCTGATAGTTATGCTTTTAAGTAAATTTTCATCTCACTGACCTTATTGATAAACAATAGAAAAGATGAAGTCATTCTTGTTCTCGTCATATATTAGGTTGATCGCATGAGCTTCTTTTTGGTAGATGATGCACAGTCCTGTCCTTCAGTGAACTTGGCACTTATTATGCTTTACCTGCGCTAGCATCTCATTTAGTTTTTGAGTTCATAGAAGATTTGTCGGCTGAGGATCTTAAATTTGGTTGCAGATGATGCATGATGAGCTGACTTCTGGGGGGAAAGTATATCTTGTTTACCCAGTTATAGAAGAATCAAAGCAGTTGCCACAGCTTCATGCTGCTAGAAGAGATTTTGAGTCGATATCAAACAAATTTGATAGCTATACTTGTGGGCTGCTGCATGGCCGCATGAACAGTGAAGAGAAATATGAAGCCCTGAAAAAATTTAAATCTGGAGAAACACGTGTTCTTCTTGCAACTCAAGTGATTGAGATTGGTGTTGATGTTCCTGATGCCTCCATGATGGTTGTCATGAATGCTGAGAGATTTGGAATTGCTCAGCTGCATCAACTTAGAGGACGTGTTGGAAGAGGAATGCGGAAGTCAAAATGTGTTTTCTGCTCTTCAAATTCTGGGGCACTAAACCGATTGAAAATACTTGAACAGTCATCAGACGGATTTAATCTGGCTATTGCAGACCTCCTTGTACGTGGGCCTGGCAATTTACTTGGTAAGAAGCAGTCTGGACACCTCCCAGATTTTCCCATAGCTAGATTGGAGCGTGATGGAAATATTCTAAGAGAAGCTCACCTTGCCGCACTGGTACGTACGATCACCTTGAATTGTTCTATATTATTTCATAAGATATTACTACTCAGCCTTTGTGATGATTACAATATAACACTGCCTGTTTAGAAGTTTCCCTTCTCTTGGAATATTATGCTTCATCATGTCCATCTGATTTTAAATTTAGGCCCCCCTTAAATATATTTTCTGGCTCCGCCACTACTTGGAATATTATGCTTCATCATGTCCATCTGATTTTTGAAGTCCTTTTAAATTTGCTTTTCAACTAGGCATATATCTTCTATTCTTCGGACATCTATTTGTTAATTTTCTGCGCATTATAATGGTGATATGTTTCTTTTGTTGGATTGGTTAGTAGAAAGGTTAGATTTTATAGAAACACGCAAGGAGCATCCATGGTCATCAGGACCTTGGTTCTTGGAATCACTACAAGAAAAAAAGACATGCTTTAGGGTAACGATCATTCGCATTCTTCATCAATAAAAGCATGGCTCATTGCTTGAATGGCACCACTTTTGTTTTCCTTCACTAGTCCCCTTCTAAAAATACTGTTAAGTAAGAATAACTAGTAAAATAGATTAAAGATGAAAAAACAAGAAAAATGTCGATGTGCATTCATCAATTCTATTTGTTTTTTTTTTTCTTTTTTCCATTGGTATGTTATCTGGTCCTCTCCAATTTATTTGACTAATCTTTGCAGTCCAGTCCCTCATTATTCTCCCAACTTTGGTTGAATTGTGATGGGTAAAGCTCACCCAGAAAGGGAGGGAGGGAAGAAAAATATTGGCATCGCTTGAGTCTTCTAGTGAACTGAATGAACTCGGTTGGGAGCTTTTATGAGTTTGTGAGGAGCTATTAGTGTAACCAGCTGCCTCAGATATCTCGTTGATTGCTTGAAGTGAAGAGAAGGGTGTATCCTTTGACAAGGGTGTGCGGCTTTCAGTATAATTACTTGTCCTAGATGTATATAAAAAAAGAAGGTACCCTCAATTGTCCTAAAGATGAGGTATTTATAGTGGTTTGACTGCTATGAATCATAGTTTGTATTAATAAAGATCTAATGGAGCTAGGGCAGAAATAGCACAGATATCATGTGGCATTTTAATGAAGAACCAATGGGATTAGTGTACGTTGATGTATGAGGTAGAACTAAACTTGGAGCTTCTAGCACGTCATAGTATATGTCTATAATGAATCTGAGGGGCATTGGATGAACTGTCATCCTAGAGTAGGTGCCGAGAATGCGTGCAATAAATAGGTAAGGAATTCTACTCATAAAAAATTATGAAAATCTCAACACATTTAAATTTAATAAAAAAAATCAAAATTGAAACTCCGGTCAAAATCATCATACTTTGGCCAAATTCTAGAAATCCCATTTTCTTCTTGTCCTCTTTTCATAGTATGTTCTATTCGGCGTTGTGATGACAAAAAAAAAGCAGAAAATCATTGGTCTGTCCCCTTTTTAGCTCTCTCATTTTCAATCTCTTGCTCCATGCCCGCACATTATGCCTCACTTCCTTACTCACATGTCGCATGTCTAAGCTATATGCTATTGTTGCTAAACGCCATCTCTATCCCTCATCCCAAATTTGCCCTCTTCAATTACAAAATATTTCATAATTAATCCCCTCTAAATCAGCTCCAAAATTCGCCTTATTCAATTAGAAAATATTTCTTAATTAATCAGCCCCCAAATCAGCTCTATTCAATTAGGAAATATTTCCTAATTAATCCCCTCAAAATTAATCCCCAAATATGTCTTCTTCAATTTGAAAATATTTCTTAATTAGTCCCCTCCAAATCAGCCCCCAAGAGCCAATCCAAGAGGGACCCGATCTAACAATACTCTCCTCCCATAGACCCACCTTGTCTGCAAGGTGGAAAAACGGCTCCCCCCTCAATTTCCTTGTCATTACAAACGGTAATAACCTGAAGAGTATGGCCCTTACACTTTTGCTCTGGTGTATACCTCTCCTCACATCTGAAACACAACCCCTTTGCCCTCTTCTCTTGTAGCTTCATTTCTGTGAGTTTCTTGAAGTTTTCTTCATGTCTTCCTCGTACAATCTTTTCCTTTGGAATCTACCTAAGAGTACCCAGTGTCGGCTCCTTGGATGCCAAAAATGTTGTGGTCATTCTGTACGAACCTCTTGAGCTGCTACCTCCAGCCCCTCTCTCCAGATGCCTTTGATCCTCCACTAACTGGGCTAGTTTCATAGCCTCTCCCAAATCACAATGTCTCATCACTCTAATAGTCGTCCGAATCTCTGTTTGAGGCTTTCATAAAATTTTCCTCCAGCACAATCTTCGAAAGTCGGTCCAGTTGGTTGGCTAGGTGCTCAAACTACTCACAGTACTTCACAATTGTTCCCTCCTTCGTTAGAGCAAATAACTGCTCATAGAAATCCCCTCCCCTGCTGATTCAGAAACGTTCCAACAAGTAATTCTTAAACTCCATCCAAGTCCGTATGGGTCGCCTTGTATCCCTCCACTGGTACCATGCCAACGCTTTCCCCTCCAAGCACATCTGGGTCACCATCAGTCTCTCCTCCGTCAATCTATTGACAGTAAAGGATATTTCCATCCTATATATCCACCCATGTGCATCATCTCCTTAAAAAAACATGCATCTTAAGCTTCTTTACCCTCAGATCTCCTTCATTCCCCCTGTTTTCTCCATAATTTTTCATTACCCAAGGAGGTGGTTCCCCCCAAGTGTCCCAATAATCTCTTCTAAGCTCGTATGCAAACCTTTCATCAAATTACCATATTCTCCTTTCAAATTTAGCACCCCTTCGATCATAATCAGTCTCTCTCATTTCAAATTCAGCACTCATTCGATCATAGATAGCTCCTCCTCTTTCAAATTTTGTCCCTCTCCTCTCAATGCAGTACCCCTTCTTTCATGCGTAACCTCCTTGCGCCTCTCCCATACCCTCTACTCAGCTCCTCCTTAGGAATAGGTTCTAGGGAAGGGCATTCTATCTTCTCCCCCAAAAATCTTAACCTCCTGATCTTTCCTTCGCATCATCAGATTAGGGTTTGCCCCACTTTCTTGGTTGTCTGTGGCTTCCCTCACCTCCGACGACACCGTTTTGGGTTGGCCCTCGAGCAACTTCTTCAACTTCTCCTCCAAGATAAAACATTTTTTATCAATTTTCTCGTGGACGGCTAAAATTTGACTTTTAAAATCTAAAAGTTAAATTTGGATATCGGAAATTTCATATTTCAGTTGTCCGATCTCGCCTTTCAATACTTATATCTTTCTTCCTATCATAGGTAGCCAGATTTAGTCATCACTAGCAAAAAATAACAACTTTGAATCTGGCCTCCAAATAGCAAAAAATAGCAGATTGAAGAGGAAATGTAGCCAAAATCAGCGATGAAGACTTTTATTTCAGTCTAGGAAACTGTTCTGATACCAATTTAATAGGAAGTGCTTGCATAAATTTTGGAAAAGCCTTGGCTGAAATCTGATTTCAGCAATTTCAGAAAACCAACGACAAGAAAATAAGGAATAAAACACACAAGAATATTTTTTTACTAAAAGCGTTATGAAAGAAAAAATAAGATACAAGTGGATCTTCAATTAGAGAGGAAGATCCGACTCTCCCAAATTTTTAGCTGTTGGCTAGAGCTCAAACACCCCTAAGAATAATCTAATTCCAGCAAACATCACATACCCTAACCCTAGGGAAAACCCCCCTACTTAAAGCATACAATAAGCATCAAATACCCAAATAACCCTCTCCCAATTTCCTCTCAAATTTATCTTATTTCCTTAATTATTTCCCTCCAAAATCAGCCCTCAAATCAACTCCAAAATCTGCCCCATTCAATTACGAAACATTTCCTAATTAGCCTCCTCCAAAACAGTTCCAAAATATGCCCTCTTCAATTAGAAAATATTTCATAATTAATCCCCTCCAAATTAGTCCTAAAACCTTCCCTATTCAATTAAGAAATATTTCCTAATTAATCCCTTCCAAACCATTCCCCAAATCAGCCACCAAATTTTGTCTTTTTCAATTAGATTATATTTCTTAATTAATGTCATCCAAATCAGCCCCCACGAGTCGGTCAAGGAAGGGATCGGCAGGGTCCCTCAAGGAGGGACCCGATCTAACAGAATGCTTGGATGATAAATCCATTGCATAATGCATTGTTGCTAATCAGACTCTCAAAGTCAATGACAAAAATACAAATGCCTTTGGACTATTAAATTTTTTTGTCTACTAGGAGACTTGTATTTTGTTTTTTAAGAAAAGGATAGAAATATATCCCATATATTTTATAAAATGGGTACATGATAAGTTAGAAATTTAAGGAAGAGTCAATAAAGGGAGCAAACTCCTGATACAAGAGACAAATGAAATGCACATTTGATTTTGTTTTCCAAAAGGGGGGTGTCAATGTGACGAGTAGAGATTAAACCTATAACATAGTTGGAAGTTGAGGTATGAACCATTAGGTCAAGCCCAATGCAATTTGGGAGATAATGGAACCTTTAGATCTTGTACGGTTTGCCACCAACACGCACGTATTTCTCAGGGCACAAAAATATTAATCAAAACAAAAATATGGGCAGATATTCCGAGCTTAAAAATCAATATAAAATCTCGCAACATCTATAATCTAGAGTTTTATATTGAAATCAGAAGTAATTAACCATCGAGAAGTTTTATTTATGAGAATGCATTACAGTGAACCATCTGGATTTGAAGCATACCGAAACTGAGAATTTATCTTAATGCAGCATATGTTCAATGGCTTAAAAGCAAGCAAGAAACTTTTTATTATTTGCAAACTTAGGTGGTCCAACGCAGCAGTGTTTTGGAGTGCTTTATAAATTCCTTGCCCCTGTTCCCCTGCAATGAAGACATTTTATCGTACACCTCTCTCTTTAATCGAACAAGCTATATTTAATTGTACAAATATCTTGCCAGTTATTAGCTGCCGGTCTTGATGCAATCTGGTATAGCAGATCCCAGTGGTTATGATTGAATTCAATTTTCAGATATGTAGGTGCTGCTCATTTTCCATTTGTTTTTTTCATTTCTACCTCGGAAGGCTGTGTTTGGTATGAAGGATTTGAAAGAGAAAATAAAATGAAGTAGAAATGAAAATTTTAAAACAAATTTAGTTGAAATTAGTTTTCGCCTACTTGTTTCGTTGAGGAATTGAGTGAAAAAATAAATCTTTTTATTGCTTAATTGATGAGAAATCATTTGCTCGTTTTTTCTTAGTAGGGAATATATGAGTTACAATGATGACCTAATAAAATTTTCTTATATTTCACTAGGGTTGAGTAAGAATTTGCCAATGAAAAAATATTTGTCTATATTTCTTACAATAATCCAATTTCTTATGAATAACATTGAAACCAAGCATCAAAGATGAAATTACGAAGCAAAATAAATTTACATCTACCCCTATTTTTTCAAATGATTCATACCCTAAATGAGAGTTGTATTTGCAAAGCATAATTGCAGTTATCTAAATTCATGTGCTTGGTAACCCATGTGGCATTGTTCTCTGCCTTCCAAGTAGAGGAGAAAGTCCAAATTCTATAAAAAATATATTAGAAATTTTCCCGTGCAACTTATTTGTTCCAATCATGATACCTTTCTGAGTATTTTATTATTGCAGAAAATTTTGAGTATTTCACATGATCTGTCCTCCTTCCCAAAGCTCCAAGCCGAGCTCAGCATGCGGAAGCCGCTGTGCATTTTGGGTGATTAAGACTTGCAAATCAAATGGATCCAGCAATTCATAAAGGCTGAAAATTGATAGTAAGGCTCTTAAAATATGCCATAATTTAGAGGCATGTATAGGTACGCTTCTATGTAATTTATCTCCTGTTGGGTGACCTCTTTATTTTTAATAGGTCTCAACTAGAAGTTTTTTATATGAAATTTTCACTGTATATTCCATTTTCATAAATTAATTAACAATATAGGAATGTGTTGGTGATAAACATCCCAGAATTAATTAAACCTTTTAATAAAATATCAAAAAAAAAATTTAATAGGATTTAAGGTTTTATTTTTCATCTCCATTTCTTCATTGTTGGTTCGGCTTTGTGTGTCATGTGAAGTAGAGTTTTGAAAGAGTTACTCCATGTTTCTTCGCCTCCTTTGACAATGATAGAACAAGTCTTCTGCTAGGGTGCTTGAGTGAAAGTAACAATCTCTTTTCCCCTTTCACGTGCTTCTTTGGCTAAATTGCACTAAAGTAAAGCTGAGAAGGAATGTGATTTAACTTTTTGTAGAATTTAAAGTTGCCATTTTTTTCTATTTGGCATTATTTATGCTAAATTATGTTTAAATCTTGCTCAAATTTATTGATGTAAGTTTCTTTAGGATTTAAAGTTGTCATTTTTGTTGTTTGACAAGATATTTATGCTTAAATCTTGATCAAGTCAACATATTATTTATTATTTTATGGTATTATATATATATATATATATATATATATAGGGTCATGTACAAAATGTCGCACATCGCTCCATGCGCTTTGCCCCATGGTTCCACGAGAAATTTTGTGCAGTGGTGCGCCATTTACCATTAACAAATATGATTATTGGCGGAAGTCGAGGTCGAGGTTGAAGTTGCGGTTGTAGCTCAGTGGGGAAGGAAGCAATATTGCAGCTCGATTTTTCAAGAAAAAAATTAAGGTTGATGTAGCAAAGTTGCTTTAATACAGGAAGTGATACATGCGTAGCTATAATGACGGCAGTATTTAATGGTATATGTAACATTTGTTTTTTTTAAAGACCTGAAATAGTACTCTAAATTTTATCTTAAAGATATGAGCTGGCTCATGAGCCCATGAGCTAAGTTGCCCGTGATCAGGTGGATACTAGACTTGCTCGAGATTGCTGACACATGGCTTTCTTAAAAAATAAAAAATAACCATTCTTATCACCACTAGTTCCTCTTGGTGGTCCAACCTCCTCCAGCATGGGTGGCTACATACTGATTCCATATGAGGGCGAGTTGGCAATGTTGGACTGATTATATTGAGAAGTTCGATTGTGCCACCTCATGAACAGTGCTTGCCAAGGCTAGGACCTGATGATAAATTTCATGCAGCGACTCATCTAGCATGCCTTTCAGCAAGGGGCACATCATCAGAAGTCTAAGATGAGCAGCCTTCGCATTATTTGGCTCAACCTTCGCCGCCTAAATTGGATCAACCACTATTGCCTTTTTTATCTTCTCAATAACTTGGCTAGACTTCGACCTTTCATCTTCTATTGCTTTGAATTTGTGGAGAAGGGCCTTCCATAACTTCTGACTATTCACATCAGCATTCTTTGTAGGGCTTGACTAAGCTATCTATCATGTGACCTAAAAGTATTAAGTCATGGTAAAGGAAAGGAGCAAGTGTGGCCCTCTCACTACACTTCATTTATAGCCAGAGATGGTACAGAAGTTAAATCAACGTCATTATGAGAATTTTGGATGAAGGTGGTCTTTTCAAGGCAATAGTAAAAGTAGGACATTAATGTCTATTTAGTTTCTATTTGTGTTTGATGGGAATAGTGAATGCTTTTCTTCTTAATTCTCTTGTGTTTTTTCACAAATCGCTTTTAAAAGGAGCAAGTGAATTAGAGAACTAAATGTATATCCGCATATGCCTACCTAAGTAGGTTGTAAGTACCAAACATCAAGCTTGAGGAACGCGACTAGGAGAAATGTTTGCCTAAAGCAAGCCTTGTCATGAGGGGAGGTCGCCATAATTAGGTTATGAACAAGCATGTATTAGCCTTAATGGAGCTTGCAGCAAATAAGCTTGCCCTTGGAGGGTCAAATCAGGGGTGCGCATATTATTAACAAGTTTGACTAATGAATTCGCTTTAATAAGCCTTCATTATAAGGGGCACTCAGCCTAGGAGGGTTCAGCTTTCTAAGTAGTTCTCCTTTATTATAGCCATCCACCTTGTGTGGATATCCCAACTATGATTCATTTCCTACTCACTAACCATACTTATGTAGGACTAAGTGAAATAAGTCATGCAAATAGAGATTTATGCTAAGATAACATCAAAGTCAACAAAATAAACTTCATAAATACATTAAGAACAATAAGAAAATTTGAACTATTAGATCATATGATGGCAAGAAGCTAATAAGTAAAGGCTAAACAATAACAAAAGGTGAATCAATTTAGACTAGCTAACATGGATTGGCACAAGTCCAACATTTAATTAAGGGATTAGTCATTAGAGTATTCGTACACTCAAATTTAAGTAGAACTTGACAGATTAATCAACACATATGAGATGATGTTACTATAGATTAAATGAGAAGACTAATAGTTAGTTAGATGGAGAACAAGGGGAAGGTTTGATACGTAGCTCATGAATGGGAGGAATGGAGTCCTTGATGAAATGATGGCTAGTTTCTCTTTGGCTTGCCCTTGAAACCTTTGCTCTATGTTGAATCAATATCCTTATACCATTAGTAGAAGATAAGTTTCCTTGGAAAGGTAGAATAGTGAGGAGGGAAAAGAAAGTTTCAGCTATATAAGGATTTGGAAGTGGAGATTTCACTATTTTGGGGTTTGGAGGGGTGAACTAGGCTAGTTGTTTGGGGAGGAGGATAGAGATAATTTGGCTGATTTTAATGGCTTGGAAATGAAGAAGTTAGGTCGGGAAGTGAAGAGGTGTGGTCTGGCTACTTGGGTAAGAGAAATGGCTGATTTGGTTTGCTTTGGAAAGGGAAAAATCAGCTTAGGAGGTGAAGAAGTGGGGCTGGTTGCTTGGGGGAGAGAGAGGGCTGATGTGGCTTGCTTGGGAAGGGAATTAGTTGGCTTGGGAAAGGGAAAAGTTAGCTTGGGAGGTGAAAATGTGGGGCTAGTTGCTTGGGGAAAAGATAGTGCTGACGTGGCTTGCTTAGGAAGGGAAAAAGTTAAAGTGGATGTGGATCTCCAACGGTCACAATTAATAGAGATAAATAATCAATTAATGTGAATTAATTTCAGAATTTGGGAAGCCCAAGGGTTAAGGGTGTTGGGGAGAAGGTGGAGGCGGATAAAAATGAAGAGAGGCAGGTGTTTGCTGGTTGAGGGCAGAGCAAGTTGCTGCAATTGGGGGCTGTTTGGGCGACTAGGGAAGGAGAAAAAAAAAAAGAGATAGAGAGGGAAGATGATACCAACCAAAGAGCTCACACGCTGTTGGGTATTTCTTTGCCATTCTCCAATTGACTTCACACACAAACTCAACTCACCAAAAGAAAAGAAAGCATATAACCAAAAATTTATATCAAAATATTCAATCTCCATACAAGAAAACAATGGGCCATATATATAGGCACCAAAAACATGAAAGGAACAAAAGACAAGAAGGCCCTTGGCCAAACAGCACAAAAGCTCCCTCAAGTGAGGGTAAAAGTGTAATAAAATAAATAACACCACATAAATCTCCTACAACACATGAAAACTAAAAATATAAAGACTCAATCAACGTCGTATATCTCTAGCCTCTATGGTGATAAACCCTCCAAGCTCTGATGTCCCCATCACATACTCACTTTGAAGATCCGTCACTCGTCTCGAGGGACTCACTGCTCAGTTAGGGGACTCACTTGCATAACACTCATTCATGAGGACTCACCTAGGGAACTCTTCATGGGCATTCCAAACCACATCAAAGGCAAAGGGCCATGTGTGAACCTTTCAGCTTAGTTCACATGTCTATCTCAATCTATATTTTTTATATCATGTAATATTTTTCTATTTCTTCAAGTATAGTTTTTCCCTATAGTTTATTAATCATATAAATAAATAGTCAAGAGGTATATTTTAAACTTTAGACTATTTTTATTGTTCACAGAGATCACTTAGCCTCTCATTTGCTATCCATACTTGTTGATATCCTTATCTTGCTCTATAGTTGTATATAGCTAATTGTATCAGTAGAGTCAGGTGTTACCCATGAACAAATTTGGATCCAGCATAAAGAAACCATCATTTGTCAAACACTATCATTAATCACGTTTCTTTGAATCTCTCCCATTCACTTTATATGATCATCTATGGGTTATTTTATTTGAGAACCAAAACTTAATTAGATTATAGAATAATAAGCTAGAAGAGCAAGAAAATAAGGTATATGAAATGATAAAGATGCGAAAATAAAAAATGAAAATGGTTCAATAGACTTGAAAGTGGCTAGAGCATTAGGGACCAGCATATGACCCATGCAAAACTAAGAGTGCATTTGAGAGGTTTAGAAGACAAAACTTACAGATGCAAATATCTTAAGCCAATTCCTTATTGCCTTGAAGCTTATTCAACGAGCAACATTTTTGTGCTAAGTGACAATCATAGGCAACTAAATATCAAAATATATCCCATAAAGGCACAGAGCATCTCTTGTTGTTTATGAGGATTCCTATTTATGCGAACCCATGGTGGTGGAGAGGGTAATTAGGAGAGGTTGTGGACCTCTTTATGCTTATATTTGACTATGTCAGTGAATTTTGGATGTAAATATGTTAATAATGCTTCTCATATCAAACAATCGATGGCTCTTGACCTGTCGATTGTGAGCATCTTTGGATAGCCTTCAGAAGATTTTACTTTGGTCAGCCAAAAACTCTTCATGTTTCTTTTGTGATAAATGTTTTCACTTGTAACATGTATGTCTATTAATTATAATATTATTCAAAACTTTAAATAAACTTTTGATGCAAGAGCACCATGTCCAATTACTAAAGATTAAGTAGTCTTAGTAGAGGGCTTTAACTCTTTTTTAATTCCCAATTAATTTTGTGGGATTTTTTTTTAGTTGACGACATATTCAGTTGCACCAAACCCAATTGGGTACATTGGTAAAATTCCAATTTAAAAAAAAAATTATTTTATTTTTCTCATCAATTTTCTCTTTTTTGAATAAAAATAAAAGTTTATATTTTTCAAAAGATATGTTTATGGTTAGTATGAGAGCAAGGCAGGGGGCAGTACCAAAAATGGGGTTGAGGCCACAAGTGGGTATAGGTAAATAGTGGCAGTACTAGTGACTTTGCCACTAGCCATGAACTCTGCCACCCAATCGCTATCATCTACTTCAACTTTTAGAAGGAGCCCGAAACTTATTCTTATGTTGTCTGCATTTGTTTGGTGTGATTTCAGTTTGACTTTATTTATATGTTACTTGCTTTGTCAACTAGCTTTAGTTGAATACTAAGTTGTGTGATAGAAAGGTTGTGGAGGATAAACGATTAAAATTTTCACGTTTATATTGAAAATTTTCTTTTATCATGGCTAGTAGAAAATGATAAGATTCAAGGCCTATTTATAAAGCTTATGGAGGGTTCTAAATTCAATTTAATACAATTTTCAACTACTTCATATCATCTAATTTATTAATTGAACGTCACGAAATTTATATACTAATCTTCATACTAGAATTTCCTAGGTGGTTTGACGATGAACTGCTTATTTATTTTTTAAGTGTGTTCCAACTTGCAAGTGATACGTTTCTCCTATTGGTGAGACTGGAAGACACGTACAACCTATTATAGAAATTATCAATGCTCTTCTTTGATAAAATTATCAAAATTAGCTTTCATATGTAACAAGATTCCTTGATATGAACGCAGGCAATTATTCTTTACAACTTTGATCATGTAAAAATATAATGATGAGAAATAGATGAAATACCCACTGTCTATTGTTTGATAGAATGATAAACCTCCAACAACAAACCCCTAAATCGCCCAACATCAATATTGACCTTCTGTTTGTCTAGAAAGATAGACCATAACTGATTCCAACCTTGCCTATGGATTGAAAAAGGATCCTTGAAGACTGCATGATCTCTTGGGTACTGTTTTATTAATGAACTTTCATTATCTGTAATCTCATATTCCAAATACTTAATCCCCATTTCTGGAGCAGGCTCACCATAGTCATGTCTACAAGCCCATGTTAAACCTCCCAATGGAATTATTTGAATCACTGTTGATTTCTCTGGAAGGAACACCATATTAGCTAACCCAGCCCCATGAACTCCCATCATCACATCACATGAATTCACAATATCAGCAAACTTTGGCAATTCCTTCATCTCTTCTGGTCTTGCAGTGATCACCTTATAACCAATTCTTCGAGCCATCACGATTACTTCTTTTTCATTCATTATTGATCTTGATCCTTTTCTTAGTATCATCAGTAATCTTGGCTTTCTTCTTGATTTCTTCTGAACTATAGAACCCCTTTTAAGTGAAAAGATTTCTCTGAGAAAATTTTTGAAGTCAAACATAGTATAGCCTTTTGGAGTCTTCGAAGGATAGATACCAAGGACTTTGTGGCTTTTTAGACCAACATGAACGGAAGGGAAGCAATGGATAATCTTCTGTATGTCCATATTAATGATCTCAAAGCGGGAAAGGCCTTGTAGAATTGGTCTGTACTTATTGATCCACTTAGCATTGAAGTCAGTTACAAGGAACTGAACATTCCCATTGAATTGGCGAGAGGTGACAAAGAGTGGGATCAGAACATCAGTGAAGTCGTGGAAGAAATTGCCTAGAAATCCACCTGTAGAGAAGATGATGGCAGGAACTGCATGGTTTATATTACAAGTGAGATTTTGTTGAAGGCCTGTTAATGTTTTTAGCCTTAATTCTTTGATGTTCTTCATTGACTGTGGTTCCCATTTCCTGGCATAAGGTTTTATAGTGTGCGTATAGTTTTCCAAGGGAAAGGGAGATTGAGAGGACATAGCTACAAAGATGGTGAAGGAGCTACTATGCACTCTTATATCACCAAACATGGAACAGGTATCAGATCTGGCTTCCGAAAAATCACAGATTATCTTGCCTTCTTGACCAATATCACCTACATATATTGAATATAAAAGGTTCTGCTTAGATGCTGAAATCAAATTAGTTAAAGTTGGGCTTCCTCTCATATGTATTGTAAGGCTACAGTTAAGTTCAAATCTTACGCCTCGTTTCGGACAGCTTTCTTACTGCTTTATGAAGCAATTTTTTAGCACAAATTTTTTTTAATGTAAAATTTTTGTAGTAAAAAACTGCTTCATAAAATAATAAGAAAGATGTCTCAAACAAAACATTAATATATATAATGAGATTCAGCTTAGCCACTTTTATATGTATTGAACTCCAAGAGAGTTTGCTTACTTCTGATTTTGTGCTTTTGAACTTGGGAACTATTCGTTATTGGGTGGTTATGCTGTGGATAGTTCTTTTGTGATGTGTATTTACTTCCACTCAGTTTATTCTTCTCTTGATCACTGCTTGAAATTATGTAGTTTTGCTCCTCAGATCTGCTTGCAAAGGTGTGAACCTTCTCTTGCTTCTGATTTGCAATTTGATGTACTTCTATCACCTTAATATTTACATTAACTGCAAAAAGAGAGTATTTGATTCAAGATCTATTCATTTTTTATGAAGAAATAGTTGTTAGATTATTGTAATTGTATAAATATATGATTTCTTTTGTAGAGAATGGACATACCTTGATTATTTTCTTCCAGATCTAGTGATAAGGTTTCAGTTTCATTGCCTGTTTGGATTAACTTTAAAGAGATTAATAAATCACACACCCTTATATGTATGTATGCATATTATATAAGCCAAATATACACACCGACCTTGTAGCATCTGTTCTCCTATGGAGTTCTTTGGATAAGTGACTTGTTTTGACACTATACTTTCATTGCCTGCACTATGAAACATGAGAGTGAGCTATTGGTTCATTTTACAAGAAACATAAATTCCTTAAAATGGATCAACTATTTAATTATAGAATTCGAATAATTTCTTTTCTTTTTTCTTTATCCGTCAAAAAATGGGTATACTATGATTACTTTCTACTCATAATTCAAAAAAAATGAAAATACATAAAAAGGCAAAAACATGAAATCGTACCTAGTAAAATCAAACCAGTGATTAAGGCTTCGTTTGGAACGGCTTTCTTATTGCTTCTTAAAGCAGCTTTTTAGTACAAAAATTTTAATTATTTAACTAGAAAGCTGCTTTAAGAAGCAGCAACAAAGTCGTCCCAAACAAAGCCTAAAATGATCCACCCTTCTAATAAGCTATGAGCCGCGATGATGGACAGGCAGTGTTAGGTAGTAATGATAGCCAATGAGCGACTACAGGTTAGAATGTGAAGATTGTGGTCTATTAGTTTTTTCCTATATTTGTCTGATTTGAGCATATTTCAATTTCATAAAAAATAAGCAAACTGGGTGATTATAAATTTCTAGTGCAAATGCTTTGTATTTTATTTATTTCAACCAGTTGTTGTATTTGAATGCATCTGGCCATATTTCTTAAAGGTGGAACTCGGCCAAAATATTTCTCTGTGCAATACAAAAGATATTGTAATATTTAACTAGATATATTTGATGTATTGGCAGTTTCTTCACTATTAATTGTTTAACCGTTGTGTGGCCTTATGTGAAATGTTGATTTCTGCTTATCTGATTTTCTCGTCTTCATCAATACAAAGTGAAACGAGTGATTTTATTGTTGGAAACTACAAAGCCAAGCAAAGGATATATTGTAGACCTGATAATGCATATGGGAGGCCAGCTTGCCTCCACTTGTAGAGGTAAGTGTTGAATTACTAAGGATATTATCAAAGTCAAAATTAAATGAGGCCTCCATTATGCACAAAGAATTAGTGGAGCTTCTTTTGTGCTTCTTTTTTAATGTTTTTTACTTTGTAAAATTTTGATGAACTAAAAAGGTGAACGAAGAATCTAATCAATTTGTTGGACCTACAAAACACTAAGTAATTGATGTAGACAAAGGGGGGGTCAAATCAAATCCAAAAAATTTGATTTTTGATTTCTCCAGCTCATTAATGTCAAGTGGAAGGTTAGCTCATTATGAGCTGGTTTTTAGTTCATTTATGGAGCTAAAAATTAGCTCATTATTTATTTGATCTGTCTATTCTCCTTTCCCCCTTTGTCTACTCATTTCTCGTGCTTGGCTCTTAGGTTATCGTGCCATGGCTCCTTGCTTCTCACGGTGGCTGTTGGTTTTTCGAGCTTGGGGGGTTTTCCCGTGGCTTTGGCGCCTTGGTTCCGTGCGGCCTCCTTGGCTCCCGCGGTTGCTCCTTCGGTTCCTGGCTGGGCTGTTTCCCATGAATGAATGGGGGCTTTTCCGTGGCTTTGATGCTTCTTTTCCGGGAAGTGACTGTTGGCTTTTCATATTCCCTATTTAAATAAGCTTAAATTAATGTTATGTGGCTGTTTGTATTCCCCCTTTCATGCCTATAAATATGAGGGGTTATGTACTATTTTGGTTATGTTATGTGATGTGATTTTTGGAAATGTGAACCTGCGGGTTTCATTGGAAAAGCTTGCGAGCTTTGTCCGTCTTCTTTCTCATCCCCTCCGGAAATCTTGCGAGCTCTTTCCAACCTTTCGTCTTGGCTTATAACCTCTTTCGTCTCTCCACAAGTTTAAACCCCACCTGTATCCCTCTTCTCAAAGTAAAGCAACTTTAGGGTGTCTTGTTTGAGTCAAAGTTTGTGAGTCTTTCATTTTTATAATATTAAAATTTGTTTAAGCATTTTATGTCTTTAATTTGTATATAGGAAGGTTGTTCTTTTTGTGATAAAAAAATATTGGGTCCCCTATATTTTTTGATTGCATCATTTGGTATCAGAGCAAGTTAGGAAGTCCTAGGATTTGGTCGTCAAATTTTGGTTTGTCAAATTAGTTTGTCAAATTTTATTTTAGTTTGTTAAGTTTGTCAAGTCAAGTCGTTTTGTTGTGGGTCTTGTTGAGTCTCTAAAAGAATTGTGAGTCTAGAGTTTTTTTTAGTCTTTTTGTGAGTTAGTTTGTCAGGAAAAATCTTGTGAGTTGTGTGTGTCTTGATATCATGTTAGTTTTGTTTTGAGTCATGTTGAGTCTTGGTGCCTCTTGGTGCAATGCCTTTAGAACAAAGCTAACTCATCGGGAGATGAGTTTTTTAAGAAGGGGATAATCTGATGTAGACAGGGGGGGTCAAATCAAACCCAAAAGTTTTGATTTTTGACTTTTCCAGCTAATTAATGTCAAGTGGAAGGTTAGCTCATTATGAACTGGTTTTTAGTTCATTTATGGAGTTTAAAATTAGCTTATTATTTATTTGATCTTGTATATTCTCCTTCCCCCCTTTGTCTATTTGTTTCTCGTGCTTGGCTCTTGGGTTCCCGTGCCATGGCTCCTTGGTTCTCACGGTGGCTGTTGGTTTTCCGAGCTTGGTGGTTTTTCCAGTGGCTTTGGCGCCTTGGTTCCGTGCGGCCTCCTTGGCTCCCGCGGTTGCTCCTTCGGTTCCTGGTTGGGATGTTTCCCGTGAATGAATGGGGGCTTTTCCGTGGCTTTGGTGCTTCTTTTCCGGGAAGTGACTGTTGGCTTTTCATATTCCCTATTTAAATTAGCTTAAATTAATGTTATGTGGTTGTTTGTATTCCCCCTTTCATACCTATAATTATGAGGGGTTATGTACTGTTTTGGTTATGTTATGTGATGTGATTTTTGGAAATGTGAACCTGCGGGTTTCATTGGAAAAGCTTGCGAGCTTTGTCCGTCTTCTTTCTCATCCCCTCCGGAAATCTTGCGAACTCTTTCCAACCTTTCGTCTTGGCTTCTAAGAGCTTCTAACCTCTTTCGTCTATCCGCAAGTTTAAACCTCACCTGTATCCCTCTTCTCAAAGTAAAGCAACTTTAGGGTGTCTTATTTGAGTCAAAGTTTGTAAGTCTTTTATTTTTATAATATTAAAGTTTGTTTAAGCATTTTATGTCTTTAATTTGTATCTAGGAAGGTTGTTCTTTTTGTGATAAAAAAATATAGGATTCCCTATATTTTTTGACCGCATCAGTAATCTGATAGTGCGGTATCATAACATGTTTGACATTGGGATTGTAATTAGCAAAGTCAAGTTTTTTTTTTTTTGCTTTTTTTGCTGGCTTTTATGATTTTGCATTTTTCATCTATCCTAATAAATTTTGCATGGGATATGATGCACGTTATTTGGCTGGTTTATTTATTTATTTATTTATTCAGGAAGAATTTTAATTCATATTTTTTAGAGTTTAAGAACGAATGAACATTTTCTAAGGTTTCGTTTAGAACAGCAGCTTTTTAAAGCAAGTTTTTTTGGTACAAAATGTTTTAGTTCTAACAGTTCGATTGACCTAGTCCAAACACATGGGATTACAGTGGAGCAAGCAAATATTAGAGCTCAATGAACAGGTAAGGGAAGTCAATTATAGCTAGCAGTCAAGCATTTGATGTTTTGGTCAAAACACTCTCTTGCGTATTAAAATAACATATCATCATCTTTAAACAAAAAAATTTGATGTATTTATAATTTCATTATTATTAATTGAGATAATGATCAAAAGTGGCCCATTGATTATTTATGGTAGGATCATAATGATTCGCGACTATTTAAACGTTTCATTTTAGTTCTTTGACTTTTTAAATAAGGATCTAAATAATTTCACGAAGGATTAATTTGATTCTTATTTTAAAAAATTTAGGAACCGATTTGATATTGTTATATAGTCGATGTCTATTATCAATCCTGTCTTTTTCTCATTGTTAATTTAGACTTTGTTTGGGACAGTTTTTTTATTGTTTCTTAAAGCAGCTTACTAGTATAAAAATTAAAATTTGTACTAGAAAGCTGTTTTAAGAAGCAGCTTCTTAGTATAAGAAAGAAAGCCGTTCTAAATAAAGTCTTAGATTTTATTTGGGATGGCTTTCTTATTGCTTCCTAAAGCAGCTTTCTAGTATAAAATTTTTAATTTTTGTAATAAAAAGCTACTTTAAAAAGCAATAAGAAAGACATCCCAAACGAAGTCTTAGTGAACCATTTTGTTCGTGAATCATTTTATTTTAATAGATATAGATGCCGTAAACGACACACTTGTGGTATTTTGGCCTGATATGAAACGTTCCTTTCTAAACTCTATGTCCGTTACAGCTGTGGTCTAACTTTTTTGTCTTCATCAATTTTGTGATTGAAGAACAAAAGCCAAACAGAGGATAGTGCACTTGAAAAACCCAATGGGAAGCCGGCTTCCCTGCCTTGTGAAATTAATGAAGGCTGAGGGATTGTTTTTTAGCCTCCCATTATGTAAAAGCAAATAGTAGAATTTCTTGTGTGCTTCTCTTTGTTAATGGCTTCACTTTATAAAGGTTATTGTTTAAAAAGATAGAATGAAATTATGAAGCCATATAGGCCTCATTTGGGACAATTTTTTAAAGCTGAATTTTAATTAAAAAATTTTGGATTAAAATTTTTTGTGCTAAAAAATTGTTTTAAAAAGTAATTAGAAACTTTTTCTTAAATAAAATCATAATTTGATATAATGATTAATATGTTTGACATTTGCATTATGATTAACTCGAAGTTATGATTGCATTTTCCATCTTTTTTATGTTATTTTTAGGTTTAAGGAATTTTTTATTATTAATGTGCTCAATATTTTCTTCTAATTTTAAATTATGTATACTGCTGAGAGATTACGGTTTCGTTTGTTATGGCTTTCTTACTGCTTCTTAAAATGGCTTTCTAGTATAAAAATTAAAATTTTTATACTAAAAAACCGCTTTAAGAAGCAAGAAGAAAGTTGTCTCAAACGAAGCCTAAATTGGAATAATATAATACTCTGAGATTAAATTAGTCATATAAGAGTAGTCGAATGACTATTTTGAAGTCTCAATCATTGCTTATCAATCTTAAAAAAAAAAGTTGTAATTGCTTTAAAGAGAAGATAATATATATAGATTTTTCAAAGCCAAATAAAAGAATTTGTGGGAGGGAATTAAAGAAAAGTAGGCCTCAACCAAACACTTTCCCCCTGTCATATCTCAAAAATATACAAGACATGGCATCTTTAGGTGTAACGTCACAATCTTAAAATGGACCATTATTTGTTAAGAGGCTACCATGAAGATAATGAACATGACCTTAGTTCCCTTAGCAAGTTCCTATATATTTTGTGCACCCTTCCTTTCCCTTTCTAGTGGATCAATCATTCATAATCAGCCCATTAATTACTTAAATACACAAAGACTTTCTATGAGATAAATAGCAATATTTTAAACTACAAGGTTTTAACTTCTTGTGATTGTCTTTAAACTTTCTTATAGAAATATTTCTTAATGATGAAGATGTATGCTTAATTTGCATGAAGATTGTGATATATTACGAGCAATATTACAAAAAGATCTAAGGCTTTGTTTGATTTCACTTTCTTACTGTTTATTAAAGTATTTTTTTAGTATAAATATTTTAATTTTTGTACTAAAAAGTTAGTTTAAAAAACAGTAAGAAAGCCTTCCAAAAAATACTAAAAGAAAAGAAAGTCTTTCCAAACGAAGTCTAAGATGTGGCTTTGCAATTTCTACTATAGGATTAACTAATCTCTCCTACTCAACTTCTTCTTCACGCTTGTTGCTTTTGCTCTTTTAGCATCCACGCTATTGACAATTAAACTTATTTTTCAAAGCTAAAAATGTTATTGCATATGAGCCAAATTAATCAAATCATTTTACAAGAGTGACACGAAGTCAATTAGTCATCATTAAACTTAAGAAAAAACTATTAAAAGCCTTAAATTGCTCAAAAATATTATTCAAATATTTGAAATTTAATCTTTTTTTATTGCATTAAATATTAATTTAAACTTATAAATAGAGGATATGAGGATGAGCTTAACACATTATGCTAGACTCTTATTACATTAATTTGACTTTTTCTAATGAAATCCTTAGCTTCTCTTTTCTCTCTTTCTTTAAACAATTTTTAAGATACAATAATGATTTTATTTCTCGTACACACAGTTCTGAATACAATCGCTCAAGATTCTTTTTTAATGTAATGATTGAATTTTCATTAAGAAACGTCAAAGTTAAGCTTGCTCATGCTAAGAGCAATTCTATAATGGATGACCTCCAGGAAAATTACACCAGTGAGTAAGATTATTAGGTCAAAGCGAACAATATCTCGATTGTCTAGTTAAATGTATAGGCCATTAACATTTGTACATATAAAAGTTTCTTTAATTTCCAGATTAAGTGCTAATAGTTAATTAGAAAAGGGATTATCACTAACCTCGTAGCTTAGTAAAGCTTCCTAATTGAAATTCCTTCACCTTCGAACAAGGCAAGTTGGTCCTCACCGATAGCTGGAAACTTGCTGAAAATAATTAAACACAACTTAGTTTCTTCATCAGCCAAACTCCCATATATATAGCAAATTAAGATGACAAAACAGATCAAATCTATCCGTTGGATATTATTTATTCCAATTGTCTAAAAAACTTTCATGGAACATCTGATGTAACAGTACAGTACTCATCATATGATCTCACTAACTATTTTCAAGCACAAATTTCATCTTTGAAACTGCTTTCAGAAACCATTCATCTGTACGTGAATTGCCGATCCAAATCTTAAAAAGAGAACTGTATTACTTACATAACGGTAAGGGATGAGAGCTTTGCTTAATTATCGTGATGAAGAAGACAGTAATAAGAAAGCAAGTACAGACAGCAGAACGGCCGAGCTTCTCCGCCTTGATCCGGCGAAAGCTGCTGTATGACGTTTGCTTCATTTCTCTTTTAGCTTTCTCTTTCTTCTACTTGGCCGAGCTCTCTGTGCTAAGTTCTATTTATATCTGTGTGTTTGAGAGTAGGAAAGTTGAGAGGTTCTGAAGGCATTATAAGGTTCTTGATTGCCTCACGCCATCCGGATGCTAACGTTTTCAAATGATGGGGGACAACGCGCGCGCATGGTGAACTAAGCAACCAAAATAATCTTCTTTCGCTTTTTCTTCTCTCTCTCTCACTCTCTCTTTTTTCGGGGATACATACATATATCTAAAACTTTAATATTTCATATCTATCACCCATATAGAATAAATATGGGTGGAATGAATGAAATATTAAAGTATATAGGGTGATATGACTGATATGAGTGAAATATATGAGTGACATATTAGATATTATGGGGTTTTACATACATACCACTTTATTTCATGCTATTTACATATCTAACATCAAAAATATTAATATTACATGACTACTCATAGAACAAATTTAGGTGCATGGAATGATATATTAAAGTTTATAGGATGGTATGAATGATAGAAATGTATTATAGGAGTTGCATATTTGATATTAAAGTTGTATATGGGTGATAGACATGTAATATTAATGTTTTGAGTGTTAGATATGTAAATAGCATTAAATAAAGTGGTATGTATGTAAATTTTCCTAGATAGTAATGTTGAAGTATGAAATATTAAAATTTTGACTGTTAGATATGTAAATAGCATGATATAAAGTGTCATGTATGTAAATACCTTTTTTTTATTGGAAAATTTTTTGATTAAGTATATTTGAACAAATTTTTTATTAGAGTGAGATCGAATTCATTAAAATTGTTTTGAGATGAGTTCAATATAAATTTAAGATCTTTACTTATGTTTATATCAAGGAATTCTTATGTATCTATATACATGATGCTTAAACATTTATATTTATATGTATAACTCTTTTAGCACCTCAATCACATCGAAATATAAGCATGAAATGATAAATTTTTATTATTTTGATCTTTTATATATAAATATAAAGTTTTGAATATTAAATATATAAATATCTGAGAATTATGTGATATACATGTAAATAACTCATTACTCTAAATCGATTGCACTATTCTGAGGATAAATTCAAAAGAATTTAAGACCGGTTTTGATCGATATTGTATTAGGATGTTCTTATGTAAAATTATTTTTCTTCTTTTAATTAATTATTATGAGTAATACTTATATTTTAAAATAAATCCAAATTAAATGTTGTTTTTTTTTTAATCTTTACCGTGCGGCCCGACAACCCGACCCGGACCGGACCCGGGATTGCTATGTATTGATTGATTTGTGCAAGCCAGGGAATGACTAGGTATTGCTCGATATTGCTCGGCAATAACGATAATATCATCCTGTCAAGACCAATACCTAGCAATATCCCGATTTTGCTATGTATTGCTCGATATTGTTCGGTATTGTTAGGTATTCGTCTTGACATAACGATATTTTTCGTTATTGTCTAACAATACCTAGCAATACCTAGTAATACCAAGCAATACTCAAATATAACAATATCGGATTCCGATTCGGGTCGGGTCGTCGGGCCGCACAGTAAAGAGTAAGAGCAACGACAAATTATTGAACTCGAGAGGTAGAGCCGACCTAATAATTGTTCCTGTTGGTTCTCTCTCTTGCTTGCGTCCGCTCGTCCACTCCTACCCGGTTTCCTGAAACTACTTACTGACAACAAAGAAGCATGAAGTCGCGACCTAAGATCATGGAGAAGGCTTCGACGACCCCAATGGCTTACGAAGAGGCAGGGAAATCGCGCTGGAGCCTGCAGCAGAAGGCTTCGATGAGTTCAGTGATGTGAAGGAGGAGGTTGCTCGCTACGAGAGAGCCTCGATGCGGTCATGGCGTGTGAAGGAAGAAGATACGAGATGAAAGATTTTGCAAGATTGAAGGTTTCATTTTGCTTTTTGATAGAATTTTAAGTTAAACTCTTTAAATCCTGCTCGAAGCCGACGATCTAAATGCAGTACAACTTCCTCTCCTCTCATCTCGTCGTCACCTTCAAATCATAACAGTCGTCGGTGACAGCCACCATTGGCCACTCCATCGACTCTAACCCAAAACTTGAAATATTGTATCAATAGAGAAATCTAATTCGTTAACTTTCATGCAGGTAGATGAACATGAAGATCCATATACTGTTTTTCAAAAAACCCACAATGTGGTGTTTTAGACCACCCATATAGGCCTTTTTTGGCATAATAAGCAAGCTCAAACCTTTGTATCTGCCCCCCTACTCAAGGAAAAATTATTATGTACGGAATCAGAACACCTTCCTAACGCAAATTTTTTTCTCTCATGTGCACAGAGTTTGTATAAGAGAGAAAATTTACGAGTCTTTATGTGATTGATTTCATCTGAATTCCGCACATAATAATCTCTCCTGCTAAAGTCACAAAAGGAACTATCAAAATTTTCTTTGGACAAACTTACTAAGGTCAAAGTTTAAAATGATTTCTGGACTCAATAACATGACCAAAAATAAAAATTTAATTATAAAACCATAAAAATAAAATTGTCAAAGAACACTCCAAACGCAATATATATCACATCAAATGAGAAATAAAAATAAATAGAAAATTGAACGCAAACTAAACTTTCAAGGGACTCATTAGCTTGCCAACTAGGGCAAATAGGATTCCCATTGACTACTTAAAGCTTAAAGCTGCTACAATCATGAACCACAAATACATATGAAAATTAGTAAGTGATAGTCAGTACCGTTGCTTAGCTTGGTTGGTGGGCAAGTAGGGTTGGGAATCTCTAACCCGTGTTCGATTCCTCTCGAGCGGCAGCGCCTCTTAAGTGGATTCCAAACAAGTGAGGTCCATGAGGTTTCTGAGGTGGGTGCTCTTCTAGGTCAGCCGAGGATTAGTCATGCCGCCAAACGTTCTTTCAGGTGTGGCAGCGGATAGATACCTCGTTCCAACAAAAAAAATGTGATAGTCTCTGTTTAAGGGCGACGAACTATTCCTTATAAAATAGTCAACAGATCTGCGACATATACATACAAACAAATAGAAGACAACCTTTCAAAGTTCATGATGAAATTTGCATGCATTTTAATGAAGGGATATCCTCAAAAACAATTAAATCTATATAATTTCAAATCTTGTACATGCTTCACATGTCATTCTTCAACTCCAATACATTGCCTAAACCTTCAAGTCTTTTGGGAGCCTGGAGGAACCAGAAACCAGCACGAGGATGGCCTTGTATCCCTGATCCTGTGAAAATCTCCATCTTCAATGTTTAACATCGATAAAAATGCATCAAAAACGTTATAAAAAATGGTACAATCACTCAATTTCTTCACCATTTACGAGGCTGCGAGCCCCATTAAGTGTATGTTATTCCTCATAATCAGGAATAAAGGACTGCTCAAACTCTGCATCCATGATAACCCCTTCCATTACATGCACAATGATCTCTCCCTTTCGGAGATCAACCTGCTCGGACCTAATATTGTTAACTAAAAGTGCTCCATCAGGCATCTTCCAAACATAAATTATGAATCCAGAAACAGAATCGAGCTGTAACTCCTTCAGAACAGGCACAGATTCTGAAGGTATGTGTTGAGGAACAGTGCAAAAACCCATTATTTGAGATAGAATGGCAAAGGTATCATTCATCTTATCAGTCATTAAGCTGCTGTTCGATTGTAATTTCAGGACATGATCAAAGGCTTTTTCCGAAGGGAGAAAAACAGTGAAAGCTAGATTTTCAGGTAACATTTTGATCATTAAGAGGCCGAGTTCACCTAGCTTAGTTTCACCTTCTACATTTCTTTTTGACGCCATTACTTCGCTCCGAGAATTCGGTGCTAGCTCTGGAAGGCCTGGACTAAGTAAGCCCAGAATACAGAAAATAGGGACAAATAGGCACAGCAAAGCAAATAATCTTCTAAAAAACTGCCCTCTTCTCCACTTTTTGCAGAACCCCATCAGCTTTTAAGCCCTCATAGTGCTTCCATAGTGCTTTCACATACAAAAATGCTCTTTTGAGCCCTCATAGTGCTTTCACATTCAATAATCTTCTAACTGTTAAAGTCAAAGTGTTCTTTTCCTGTCAGGAATGTTAAGAGTAAGTTCATCGGAAATGCATTCCAAAGCAGCTTCAGTGAGCTTAATTTAATGAACAAATAAAAATTACATAACGTGGAATATAGTAGCTTTTTGTTGCTCTTTTTTGTTTCTATATTCCAAATAATCAATGCCGCTTGCCTCATTGCTATTTAATTTTCACTTATTTTGGGTGATTTCTAATCCTTGTTTAATCCAAATTGATTTATCATTACTTCCAAACAAATTATTTGGGAATCAAGCAAAGTCATTTATTTGAAATAATTAGTTTACAGGCAACCAAATGAACCCTTAGCATGAAAACCAATAGCTTAAAATGGAGAAATGAGTATTTTTATTAAAAAAATGAAATTCTATATATTATGAATACTAGAAATTACTAGTTGATATTGCTTTGTTTGAATGGCTTATTTATTTCTTTATATTCATTCAGTGTTCTCATTAACATTTGATTTCTAATTGTCATTTTTTTTATTTGCACTTAAAGAAAGCAATATTTTACATATTTAGTGGTCTAATTTCTTTTACATAATCTACATTAATTGTGTCAATCTATTTGTGCATGAGGAATTTCGACCCTTAATCATTATGCATCAATTTGATATTAGAGTTTATGTTTGCATTTTCATGTCAACTAAATGCATCACATAATAATTAGGCCAGTAAAAATAATTACGTAATGATACATATCAAATGAAATCAACTAGGAAATGATTTTAGCCAAATAAAATAACTATTCTTGATACGGCATCACAAAATTAGCTTGATCGGGCACGAATCTCGAGGCAAAAGCTAGTTGGAAATTTTAAAAATTAATTCCGGGAGCACCCGAACTCCAATTTCAGCGAGCTTATAGTCAAACTGAGCGTCTCGGAAATACGAACCCAACGACACCAAGATCAACCCAATCCGAGCCCAAATGAGTCCGAATCAAGGACCCAAAGCGCAGTTGGAAGGTTCAAACCGCAATTTGAGTTACCAAACGGTCTCCGATTTTAACGATCTTATACTCGAATCGAGCGGCTCGACGAGACGAATCCAACGAGCCCAAGATCGCCGAATTCCGACATCATTAAGGCCTCCAAATGTTCAACGAACGGTGCACGATCGAAGGGTTCAATATCGGCCGTCCATCCAAACCACTCCCTATTCGCCCATAATCTCACACCTATTTATGAGCTATGCCACTCCAAAAAAACTATAAATAGAGCCCTCATTCTACACAAAGGGGACTCTATGGAAGAGAGAGAAGAAGAAGGGAAGAAGAAGAGAAAGGGGAAAAGGAGAATCCCCTCCTCGACCACCGCCAGAGTTCGTCCTGCCGCCCGAACACGCCGGGATTCTGCGCGATATTCGGGAGAACGCAGGAATTCTGCCCAACTTCCACGTAATGCTGAAATTCTTCCCAATTTACAATAGAGTTCCCTCCTGGCGCCGAAACTCCACCCAAGTGAAGCCGGAGTTCTTCTCCGCCACCAACAGACGTCGGACTTCTACCCGACGTCTAACCTTCACTCTTCACCAAGTTTCTACCCGACACCGGACTTCTACCGGTTATCGGACTTCGCTGGACGTCTATGCGAAGATGGACTTCTTTCCATTGTTGGACTTCTACCTGACACTGTCCTTCTGATCTTCGTCATCAGACTACAGTCCTTCCGACCTTCGTCGCCAGCCGACTACGGTCCTCCTGACATGTCGCCCGCCGACTACAGTCTTTCCGACATCCGTCGCCCGTCGACTACGGTCCTCCTGACTTATGTCGCCCGCCGACTACAGTCTTTCTGACCTTCGTCGCCCGCCGACTACAGTCTTTCTGACCTTCGTCGCCCGCCGACTACGATCCTCCTGACTTACGTCCCCCGTCGACTACAGCCCTTATGATCTCCGTCGCCAGCCGACTACGGTCCTCCTGACTTACGTCGGCCACCGACTACAAGCCTTCCGACCTCCGTCGTCCGCCGACTGCGGTCCTCCCGACCAAACGAACATGCCAATAGTGATTCTTTGCATTCATATCATGTAATGTACTCTATAAAATGTACATCAAGCTAAGGTCTTCTCCCAAGGAAGGGCCTCATTTGTAATCGACTACAATACTAGTGGATTCATTCAAACTGGGCTAGGCCCCGTGGTTTTTCCCCCTTTTTAGGAGTTTTCCATGTAAAAATCTTGGTGTCTCATAAATGCTAGACCCTCTCTCTTATCTAATTGCGTGCCGGATTTTCGTACAATGCTATGATGATAAACTTTATATTTCTCTACCGCCGCGAATACTCCTGGACGCAACAGTCAAATTCCAAAATTACAATTTTATACTTGATGAGAGGTATAATCATGGGCAATTTTCAAGATAGCTTAAAATTTTGAAAGATTTCTTTAACATTATCATTTATTTGATTGAAAAAAGTACAAGTTACTGATGCAACTTACACAATCAATATGGGCTGGTATGAATAGTATACTTAAAGATAAATATCTATCATTTAGCAAATATAGGGAAGAATTGCTTTATCATTTTCTTTTTCAAAATTGCAAAAGAAAAGGTATTAGCACTCTTTAATGCTATGTAAGTTTACACATCTTATAGCTACACAAATAACCTAATTTTCTTATCATTACTTGTTTATTAAAAGTCTTAAAAGAAAATTTACGAAGGAAATAAGCTACAATTCAGATAAAGCATCATCTGAGGCTTTATTTAGATCTTTGAGTATTCCATTAAGATTTTGTTTTTATGTCAATTCCTAAGCAAAATTTACAAACATCTCATCTAAAGTCTATGAAAAATAGATAAATGCAAAAATTATGTATAATGGAAGTTGATCCAATCAAAAAATAGTACTTAGACTTCAATTGATTACAAGTTAAACGTCTTTCAAAGATGGTATTCAACAAAGTAAAAGCTACTATTGATTATTTCTATAATAAATTTAGTTCTAATGAAGGAGAAAAATGAGATATATGGGATATCAAAGTTAAGATTAATAAAATCTAAGAATTTTTATTAAGTAAGATCCATCAAAAATAAAAATAATTAGGGATTAAAGATGAAGACATCAAAGAAAGATGAAAATATTAATTACTAAATGAGAGCTTAAAATTTTATTTTAGAAGAGTATAATGAACAATATAGTGATGTATGTTATATATTAGATTGATCCAAAAAAAAAGTGAAAAAGAGCTAGTTTTAAAAAATAAGTATAAGGATAAGGCTTTAAACTTAGATGAGATACCCATTAAGATTTGGAGTAATTTGATTAACAAATTTTGATAATTTTAGAAACTAAAATGACATCAAATTATTGGAAAAGAAATATTTGAGTACCAATATATAAGAACAAATGTGTTGTTCAAGATTTTGTTAACTATATAGAAATCAAACATGAGTCATACAATGAAGCTATATCAGAGAATAACAGAATATAGGATTAGAAAAATTAAATAAACTTTGAAGAACCAATTTCGTTTCATGCTAGAAATATCTATTATAAAAGTAATCTTTGTGTTATGCAATTAATGAAATATAAAGAATAAAGAAATGATCTTCATATCACTTATATATACTAACTTAAGAAGACATATAATCAAGTATTATAGGAATTGAATTAGTGTATTTTAGGACGAAAATGTGTATGTTAAATCTATGTTAACATTATTAAGATATATGACTAAGCACTAATTAAAATTAAAAGAAATTCTGGAGTGACCCAAGAGTTGCCATTTATTGTATATTTACATTCAAGGATTAGAATTGGGCCAATATCTTTTTATGTTGGTTATAAATATGCTAATAAAAGATATTCAAAGCAAGATAGATCAGTACATAATTTTTTAGAAATGATATAGCTCCAATTAGTGAAGCATCGACTAAAATAAATAAAAATTAGAATAGTGAAGTAAATATTTAGCATATAGAGTCCTTATAATTAGTCCATATAAAGATTTAGTGGGTTTGATGTCCATAATTATCATTAAATAGTATTAGAATATAAATTGATAATCTGGCCTAATCGGTTAAGTATTTTGTATCTATCATACAAAATAATGGAGATATAGATGACGATAATAATAAATGTTGGGCTGTAAAAAATAATATCAAAGTGTGATAGAAATGATAATTTTAAAATGAGTGGTAAAATCGAAAAGGATATATTAAAAAAAGATTCTATCAAAGGAAATATTTAAGTGACATCTAATAAAACAAGATGATGAAAAATAGGCCAAGCAGATTAATAAAACAAATATAGAAAATACATTTATTAGATGAGTTTATAAAATTAGTATCAAATAATTAGGAAGGGTAAACATAGAATTACATGGATACAATTTACAAGAAATAGTTTGTGAAGAATTAGTTTAACACCATAAATAACAATCGGTAATAATAAATGAAAAATGAGAAATCTTAAAACCGACCTAAAGTAGTTGAGACAAGAATAATGATGATGATTAATTGCTTAGTTCTTTAATATCACATCGAAAAAAAAAACTTGTTATGAGGAAGTTTACTAGCAAATTTGGATATTAGGGTAAGAAGATTACTAGCAAATTTCCTAAAGAAAAATAAGACTTATTTTGCAAATGAGACTGAAAAAAAAAAAAAAAGAAAGGAGAAGTCATCTACTACAAGTGCGAAAAGAAAGATATACGGGAGAAGAAGCAAGGAAAAAAATTTCCTTCACAAGTACAAATCTACTTGATATATGTATAAATTGAATGTAACATATAATCAACACTGAACTTTAAAAATAATATATACTACTATTAAAAAGTGACTTATGATTTCTGATGAGGACATCGTCAGTATTTTCGACGCCGGAGATCGACGGCCACGAGCATGACTTGTATTTTGTCATTCCATGTAGTAGCGTATTTATTTTGATATTTTTCCACTTTTGCCCATATGGGCATTTAGTCGCTTACGTAGCCCG